GGTAGAATAGTAGAATGTGTTGGGTTAGAAGGGACCTTTAAAGGTCATCTAGTCCAACGCCCCTGTAGTAAGCAGGGACATCTTTGAATAGACTTGGTTGCTCAGAGGTTTAGAAGTGTTTTGGATAAAGTTCTCTTGCAGGTACTCTGGTTTTTGGGCTGTACAGTTACTGTTTTTTCTCAGGTGGAACAGCTCAGTGGCTGCTGGATTCTGACCTGAAGAACATGCTGAGACTGATGCCTCTACTTCATCTAAATGGGGGCTTGTTTTTGTATTATACTGTGCCATATCTCTTACTCGAAGACAAAACCTTTCAACCGTAAAATTTGTATTTAAATTTTTTGTCTCGAAGATTGTTTTTTTTTTGCTATCTGATGGTGGATAAAAGTGGCTGATTAAATGATTACACTTCCCTCTCAGCTAGAATTTTCACAAAGTTCTAAACTTAATAGCTTATTACTGATGCAAATGGAAATCTTTGAGTCCTTACTCTAGTCTGTATTTTTGCTAGACTAAGCACTTGAAATTACCACTAGAATTTTACAGCACTGGAACTAGTGATCTGAAAGGGTTGCATGTTCATAGAAAGGCTAAAAACTCTTGCCTGCTTAATACCTGTCATATATTCTTCCTGCTTCTTGAAGAAACCTTGTCGAAATGGATTTTTAATAGACATATCTGGAATATAGATTTTAATACAAAGAATAATTTAGAAATATACGGGATTTTATTTTAAATAATTTCATGAACTCTTCTAGTTTTCAACTTAACTAAATGGTAATTTTTCTGGGCAAGCACAGTTATGCCTTTATGCATAACCCCCCAGGTTTCTTCATGTAGACATTCTTCTTGGCTACATACTTTAAAAAAGAAGGGACAGCATCATAGCAAGAAGCTGGGAGCCTACAGCACAACGAAGCAGAAAGCAGACGGACGGAACGGTCTCTACACTGATAGAAGGAAACTTCCTTTGGACCTGAGATTGCTGCAGGGCAGCCACTCAGTTGACTAAAATCAAGCCAGCAAGTTAGGACTTGTCCTGAACGTTCACAGCAGTCAAGGGGAGGGTCTCTGATCTCTCTTCAGGCGGAGCACAAACAACACTGGATGATAGACAAGCCTCTCCAGGCAACTATCCCAGACGAATAACCTGTCTGCTCCTGACGTTTGACTGGTTGGTGGCAGGTAACATTGAGGGAGAGGAATATGATCATCTTCTGGTAGATTAAACGAGCAACATGCTGAATTTGGAATCTTCTTAATGGTGTTTATACAAAAGCACTTTAAGGTATACAGTTAAGTAAGCAGATCATTTAAGGGATTGAACTAATCCATAAGATTCTTCATAGCCCTGAGGCTTGGTATGTGAAATATAACCTGATACAAAAATGAAATGCTTTTTTTATTAGAATATCTTGTTCTGAGATAGTTTTGTAAGTATTAAGTTAGAAACATCTAGTTTATTACCATCTCAATAAGTTATGTTCTGAATATGCTTAGTGATATGCATATAATAAGGGAAAGGAGACAGAAATAAGAACACTGTGTTCTGTTTCCAAGAATTAAGTTTTTTCTGATGAAATCTTTCTAGCAAGTGAGTGCATTACTGACTGCTACTGCTAAACCTTAGAAATAAGTTGAACAAGTCTCACAACTCGTATTGGCACATGTGCTGCATGAAAGATAACCCCTTAGTAGTTACTTATGGAATGGTGGAGAAAGAATGGAAACAAGCCAGGCATTTGCTTTATCATAAGCAAAAATATGTATTTTAAATGAGGTACCAATGAACTGAACAGCCCAGTACTAAAAAATTGTAGACAATTGTAGACAATTGTAGCAGACAAAAGGTTTTTCTTCTATAGATGGAGAAGCCTGACTTTGCATGATTTCAGCCTGATCTGCTGTGCCATAGGTAAAAACAATGGACTTCCTTGTTTTATTAGCTTGTCAAATAGCTTTATATTTCTTCTTTTGCATTTTTGGAGAGGGAGACAGAAAATTAGGACCATGAAGATCCACTTGCAAGGTGCAAAAATGACATCTGAGAAGTGATGACTCACCATGCATTTGAATACTTCAGCACTATGTAGATACTTTCTGGTGGGTAAGTTCTACTAACTTGACTAACTCTGCCATGGAGCAAGTGGAAGATAGCAAGGAACTAGTTATTTTTTTCCAAGAAGTGATTATGCATCATGAAGGTGATGTAACTCTGAGATAACTCCCTAGCAGCTTCCTGTCTTCTTGGGACCTTATTTTCTTCACCTGTAGTTTGGGGCCGCAATGGCTACTTCTGTAGGTCTATAAACATGAAGACTGCTCAGATTCATTAACTTCAGTTCTCTAAAAACAGTACACCACAGATATGAAGACCTTAGGCTGCATCTTATTCCATCTGTTTCTGAAATGCTCCATTCATGATTTAGCTTTAAAGCTGTTAGCTTGTAAAAGTGCATAGGAAAACCTTTGTGCCAACATACACCTGAGGTCAGTTCAAAATGCTACTATACAAGCTACTGAGTGGAGGAACTGTGTTCTTCATCTATCTGTGCACTGCAGGGATTGCTGGAGAAAAGAAGTGGTATGTGAACCTTCCAGTGTAAACTGTTTGTTTTCTACTTGCACTCTTCCATAATTACATATGATACAGTGAGAAAATACTTGTATTCTGCTTCTGTGAATGGATACATAGCCTAAACGAATGAAATATCTTCATTAGAGCATAGAGTAGTCTAATCAGTCTAATCACGCTGCCTTTACTGTTTGTATTAAAGCAGTGCAGGAGAAAATCAGTAAAGGAATTAGATCCCTTTGCTAAGTGTTGTACACCTAAATAAGTAAGAAATGGTCTCTGCCCCAGAGATCAGTTCTCTATTTGTCTGACAGAGCTTGAAGAACACCAGCAGCTGAGAAGTTTCAGTGACAGCAATTTAGCAGAAAACCAGAAATTAAAGCACAGCACTTATCTATTTGCCTAGCAATTATTTCTAACTGTATTAGGGGAGTAGTATAGTATTTCTTTACACTTGTACAGAGATTCCTTATAATACAGGTGGCACCAAATGTAAATGTGTGCTTTGTGACTTCAATTAAAACTTTCCTTGTTGACATGGTTTAGCATGGGTTGTTACAGACTTCAAGATATATATCTATATTGGTTTCTCCATTTTAAAGAATTTATTTGTTTTTTAACATGATTACGTTACTCTAACTTGGACCAATGACAGCAACGGGGAGAATATTTAAACTGGTAAATCAATCAGATTTTCTTCATTCTCACTTTTTCAGAGGGATACAGGCTCCTGCTATTGGTTCCAGTTGGGAGAGTTAGCATATTGCTTCCATGTGCCTTGTGAAGCTGAGATCTTGCATAAGCACCACTATAAAGAGAAGCCACACTGCCTAGATATTTAGTTCTTCTCTCCAGAGGGCATTTTCATTTCTCTTCACAGAGACAAACTTTAAAGGCCACACACTTCCACTTCATCATTTTCTGTGTTTGGGAGTCAGAAAAACTAATTTGAAACTACATTGCTCTTTGATTATTTGTGTCTTTGCATTGCATAATTTATAGTTTATATGTTAGTGTGGAAATGAACAAAATACTGTTATTTGGAATAAAAGTTAAAACCAAGTTATAATACAGCTCTTGCCAAGGACAGGTGCTGAAAAAGAAATCTGAACTCTGCTCTTCTCCCACATGATCAAAGTTTATTTTCTGGCTGAGAATACTAGTTTGCTCTTAAAAGGTGTGGAGGAGTGATTAAGGAGAAAAGGTGAGCACTTCTGAAAGCTTATGTATCTCTACTTATGAACCTGCATGTGGCGGTTCAAGCATCAACCAGTAAGTAGTCTCAAGCACTCCTTTGATCATTCTGGAGCGCTGTCTGCTAAATGGGAAGAGACTTCCTGCTGTACTGAGTCCAGCACCTGTTATGCAAATAGCAATGAATAAAAATCCTATATACAGGAGGATAAATGCCCATCTTTGAATTGCAGAGATAGAAGATCAATGTAATTTAATCTCAGAATTTCACTTCAATGGCTGGAAACCTTTTCACTAAATTCAGACTACATTTGGCTGACTGATTTTCATTTGTTTTACTCTCGAGGTGGAATATGACTATTTAACACCTCCTTCATTTTGGAAACATTATATTCTTTGAACTTTGCAAGAATCGTAAGTAGGTGTTTTTTTTTTAAAACTTTCATATCCTTAATTATCCCTGCCCAAGGAAGACTAAAGCTGTAAATTCCTTTTTGCTATGTTAGTTTGAGAATCTTGCCTGGAAAAATCTGAAGCATTCCCTCCTCCACAGGCACATTCTCAGAGAGTGAAGCGAGTTTCATCTGTCACAAAATATACACTTTCAAATAAAAAGCAATGTAGGAGAGCATTAAACACTGGCTAAAATAAAATATATAACATCTGCTTACCCATTGTGTAATCTTTTGATACCAAATATAGGACTTGGCTAAATCTTCAGTGTGATACAATTACAACTTGGGGAGAATTTTCTTGCCTTTGTGCTATGTCACCAGTTGAATTTACTTTCAGCTTGTACCGTGTTAACAATCCTCTATTTGTCATTCGAGTCTGAAACTCTGTCTTTTAGTTCTCTTTGAATGGATCACTAACAGTATGAGAGCCTTATGTACGAAGGGCTTCTCTTTCTTCTTGTTATGTGCCTGTTCTTTTAAATCCAACCTGGCTATCAGAAGATAAACAGGAGCGCACCTTGCTGGAAGGTGCTAAGGGTTGGATAATTAATTGCTGGTGTAGGACTTCATAAAGGGAGGGGACAGAAATAATTCAAATGACAGAACCAGATTAATGCTGGCTCTGGCCTCTTACAATTTTTGCAATCACCCTGCACTACCCTAATATCTTCTTTTATAAAAATTATATCTGAGCAGCTGGAAAACTATTGAATTAATTATCTTTAAAAAATGCTATTTTAAATGACTGTCCACACTCAACATCTTGAGCAAAGTGATTTATAGAAATGAAAAGTAATGGCAGAGCTCTTTATTTCCACTTCAGTACTCCATGGTGTTCAGGTATTGTAGTGTAGCCCGCAGTTTATTTCAGTCAACAATGTTACTTAACATTGGAGAGAGTAAAATGCTGTATATCCAGAGAGAAATGAAGAGCATTCAGATGGAATAGAACAGCACTCCGATGGAATAGAGGCATCAGGCTCAGCGTGTTCTTCAAGTCAGAACCCAGCAGTCACCAGAGCTGTTCCACCTGCAGAAACAATAACTTTACTGTCCAAGAATCAGAGTACCTGCAAAAGCACTTTATCCAAAACACTTCTAAACAATGATCTCCAAGGAAACTGAGCTTAAGAATCAGCTTTGAGAAACAGACTTTTCATTAAAGGTTTCAGACTCAAGCATAGACCATTTTGACATGCTTTTTTAGAGTTACTAGAGTCCGTGCCACAAAGATAAAGGATCTGGTCCTGTGTTGCTGGTAAAATGAAAATCCCACTGAATTCGATGCAAGTCTTGCGTAAGTGAAGACTCCAGGATGTGTGGCCCCCTGGTTCTCCATACTCCATATTGCTCTGTGTCAGCCATCTCCTCCAAGCCATGCAGAAAGGGTCCTGAGACTGAGGGGACAGTCCAAACTTTTTGTTTCCAAGAGAAACCACATGAGGAATTAGCCATGTGACAGGCATGCTACATGTATTGTCACGCACTGTTTAAGTGATTGTACAAAAAAATGTTCAAGGCTGCTTTCAGTTATATGCAGGCAAATCACCTAATGGAAAGACCACTGCACAGGGGCAGAATTTGGTCATTTTGGTCACAGAAGTTGAATATCAACCAGAAGAATAAAATCATAGGATCATAGAATCATAGAATGGTTTGGGTTGGAAGGGACCTTAGAGATCATCGAGTTCCAACCCCCCTGCCATGGGCAGGGACACCTCCCACTAGACCAGGTTGCTCAAGGCCCCATGCTGCCTGATCTTGAACACCTCCAGGGATGGGGCATCCACAACTTCCCTGGGCAACCTGTTCCAGTGTCTCACCACCCTCACAGAAAATAATTTCTTCCTAATTTCTAATCTAAATCTACCTTCTTCAAGTTTGAAGCCATTACCTGTGGGAAACTTTGGCTTGTCCATGGGAGCCTTAGCATTGGCCTTGTGCAGACATCTGTGTATCCTTGAAGAGGCCTGAGAGTCCGGACAAGAAGGGAGTAAATAAGATTAAGGACCTGTCAGATAGCCAGCAGAGAAAAGTTACTGAAGTTACAGCAGAGAACAAAGAAGGAGGAAGTTATCCAATCATGAACTGTTGGACTTTAAGTGAACCAATTATACATGGACACACGTTTGTAAGAAAGATATAAAAGAGTTTGTTAAAACAATAAAGTGGGCTTCAGCATGATCAATTACCCCTCTATCACTACTTGCCCTTGTAAAAAGTCCCTCTCCATCTGTCCTGGGTTGAGAGACACAGGACTAACTTTTCTTCTAATGCTGGGGAAAATTGCACTTTTAGAAGACTCTAGTGTCTGAATTTGTGAAAATATTTATAGCCAGCCAGGCTCTGTGGGATTCCAGGTTGGTGTTTTCGAGCCTTGCCAGGTGCAGGGACAAGGAGGAGCAAGGCCTGATCATTTGACCCAGGCTGGCAACAGGATTATTTCATACCATGAACATCACATTCAATATAAATTAGAAAAGTTTGCTGCGTAGGGGGCTCTCCCTTTATGGCGGTGGTTCCAGACAACTCCTTGCCCCGGTGCCGGACCCCTGAGGCCTTCCCTTCCTCCTGAAGCCACTGCACTCGCAGTGTCCGACATTTGCTGTCCCTGCTGGGAGTGCACGGCTTCCTGCTGATAGAATTGGCTGAGTATAATTCTTGTATATCTTATATCAGTATCGGAATTAATACTGGTTCTTTAGTATTATTGTTAATTATTTAATCTTAGTCTATTAAATCTATTTATATTTCAACCCTTGTGTTTCTTTGTGTTCCCTGATTCCCCTTTCTGGGTGGGGAGGAGCCATTGGGTGATAGAACTAATTGTCTAAACAACAATAGATTGTTATGGGTCTTCTCAAACCATAATACCATCTTTCTTGTAGGCCCCCTTTAAGTAATAGAAGGCTGCTATAGGTCTCCCTGGAGCCTTCTCTTCTCCAGGCTGAACAACCCCAACTCTCTCAGCCTGTCCTTATAAGAGAGGTGCTCCAGTGCTCTGAACATCTCCACAGCCCTCCTCTGGACCTCCTCCAACAAGTCCATGTCCTTCTTGTTCTGAGGACTCCAGAGCTGGACAGACTACTCCAGGTGGGGTCTCACCAACTAGAGGGGCAGAATCACCTCCCTTGACATGCTGGCCATGCTTCTTTTGATGCAGCCCAAGATGCAGTTGGCTTTCTGAGCTGTAAGCTCACATTGTCAGCTCCTGCTGAGCTTCTCGTCTACCAACATACCCGAGTCCTCTCCTCAGGGCTGCTCTCAATCCATTCTCTGCCCAGCCTGTATTTGTGCTTGGGATTGCCTTGACCTAGGTTGATCAAGCATGGTTAAGAAAAATATGATGCAAAACCCTTAGCATGAATCTGCTGGCATTTGGGAAAGATGTGTTTAGTCACTGTGTTTGACCTTAAAATCTTAATGAAGTATGCCAAGGCAAAATTAGAATATGCACACAGATTCTGCAATTGTTAACTGCATTTAAATTACATCGACTGCTTTATGGGAGTTTCACTGAATTGAAGGATGAGAGCATCTGCCATTTGATTTGATGACTGCATGCAACTATAACACTTCAGAACTAGGAATCAAGAAAAGAAAAAATGAGCAGAAACGTGACCCTGGAATGAAAGAGGACACTGCAAATACAGTATCTTACTCTTCAGCAAGTCTTAATCTTAGGTTTTTCAGTTGTATTGCCACCAAAATGGACAGCTGTGGTTTTTACTGTATTTTGCCAGTTTGACAGAGCTGAAAAAGAGCTGAACTTCTCAAAAAGTCCAAGAGAGCCAGATGCTCCAATTCCATTACAATGCATTAAAGTTTAATAGCTTAACACCCACCCTTTTTGAAAATCTAATCAGAAATGCTACATAAAATTCCCAATGCAAAATCTATGTTTCATGATGACAAAAGATGCACAAATGAGGGAGACACCCATCCTGTGAATTTTAGGGAAAAGCAGTTATTGGTAGACTGTACAAACACGAAACTGATGGAGATAGAAACCAGTGAATCTCATACATCCTTTTAGAACCCTGAGTTTAGAGTCTAAGTTTAAGTGACTCGCCATCTAAAAACATAAAAGAGATGGCAGTCACAATCACCTGCAGTTCCAAAATGAGGAAATAGGATTGCATAGACTATTTGCACTACAGTTTCTCTTGCTGATACCATAACTCACTTACAGTCTTTCTGGTTCTGGAATAAATTCAGGATATCAAAAGGTTAAGATTAGGCTGCTTACCTCTCTGATAATAACTACTTCCTTGAGTCCTCATGCAGGGAATATCTCAGAGAGATACTCCTTCTCTCAAGGATATCATCAGTTTCATTCTTAGAAGCTCCCTAGCAAAAACACCTCAAATTAATTCATTGCCTATCTTAAGGAGAACTGATGAAAGTATCTAGTCCAAAGTAAACCTTTCACTTGTTTCCAAAAGAGTTGAACCAGTTCAGGCAATAGACACTGTCCTCTGTCCCTGGTAGCCTTCTCAAGAGCTGGGTATTGCATTATTAAACCTTATTTTAGCAGGAAATTGCCAAAAGAAATGCCAAAAGAAATTCAATGGACCTCTGTCGCCATCTAGTGGTTGTGACAAAAACACTCTCTGATTGATACGACAGTTACACTGAATACAACAGGATTATTTGGGATTACAGACTTTTTATTATCAAACAAGTGATATATGTACTTAGTTAAGTAGCAATCAACATCCCAAAAGGGTGCCGAGAGTCAGAGGGCAGAAGACAATCTAGGAAGCCATTCCTGTAGGTTTCTTATATGCTGCAGGGTCAATTGTCAATCTCAAAGTCATTCCTGCGTGAATACCACTGAAACTGACAAAACTATGCAGAGTACTTGTTTACTTATAGGACAACTACAGAGAATGGACTTCTTCATTAAAAAACCACCAATGCTGGTGAGACAAAAACCACTGTTTGATATCATCAAGAATTTGGTCTTCAGTGTTTGAGATCAGATACAGTAGGAAGACAATCCAATGGCAGCTGGTATCACACTCATGGATAAACTATTGTTTCTGCTGGCTCTTTCCCATGTAGCACTTTCTAATATTAGGTTCATAGGTTTAATTGCCCACCCTCCTCTGTTTCATAGTTGAGAGTGAAAATAAACACTTATATAGCAAAGTTGAGAGTGAAGATAAATATTCTTAAGGTGACTGGCACAAAATCTTGCTCTGGGAAAAAACAGGACTTGGAGTTGAGAGTGGAAGTTCAGTATCTGTGAGAGCAAGCACTCTGTATTGCAGAAAATGCTTTCACAATGCTGGGCCTGCAGTATCTGTTGTGAAGTTTTCCACCTCCTCTCACTCTCAACTTCTTGCTAAACAAGTTTGTGACTGGAGAGTGAGTTTTCCCACTGCTGTATTGTAAGTATAAACACATTAGCAAATGCCATTTCAGGTGCTGAAGCAAACAGTGGGCAATCACGCAAGAGGCAAATTTAGAGGAGAAATACCAGAAAAATACAGATAAATTTAGTGGAAAATATCATCCGAGGTCTTGGGGTTTGGTGATGTAAACTTCCCCAGTTGAAGCATCTGACCCTACTCCTGAGAACACTGTAAACCTGAACCTAGTTAGGGAGCTGTGAGCCATGTGCCTCCTTACAGCAAGCACTAGATGTGTTCAGTGATGTAATCTGTGGAACTAGAAAGTGAAAGGAAATGTTGATTTGATTGCTGCATCTTGCACTGGGCTAGCAACACTGGCTCATTCATCCTTGTTTGTACCTTCCCCTTTTTTCCTCTAGGGCGCTTCCCTCAGGCTAGTGCAAGGCTTGTGTGACTCCAAACCATAAACAGATGCTAAACAATGGGGAATTACTTCAGTGAAATGAAGGGCCTTATCCTGAAAGCCTGATTCACACAAGGCCTCTTACCATACAACTCCTACAAGGTTATTCATCATTATGTTGTTTAGGCTGTTTCACAAGCCAAAGAGTTAGAGAGCAAGGGCATGAATTTTGTCACTTCTGCCATCTGAGGTGGACAACTCCCACTCGTAGCCATATGGAAGAAGGGGAGGGAGGGAGGAAGGGGAGAGCATCATTGATTTCAATTTATAGCCGTTCCCTTGACTGTGAGATAAATACCTCAGGCTTGGATATGTCACTGAAACAAAAATCAGTGACAGACTGAAATAGCCTTCTATATGCCAATGCGGAATGGCAGGATTTCAGCAGCCTTTTTCAAAGACCACCGATGTAGAGGGGCAGAATCAGCTCCCTTGACCTGCTGGCCACACGTCTTATAATGCAGCCCAGGATGCTGTTGACTTTCTGAGCCGTCATCGCACACTGCTGGCTTATGTTGAGCTTCTTATCAATAAACACCCCCAAGTCCTTCTCCTCAGCCCTCAATCTATTCTCCACTCAGTGTGTACTTGTGCCTCAGATTGCCCCCACCCAGGTGCAGGACCTTGCCCTTGGCCTTTTTGAACTCCATAATGTTTGCCCAGGCCCCCCTTTCAAGCCTGTCCAGGTCCCTCTGGATGGCATCCCTTCCCTCCAGCATGTTGACTGCACCATACAGCTTGGTGTCATCAACAAACTTGCTGAGGGTGCACTCAGTCCCACTGTCGATGTCACTGACAACGACATTATACAGCACTGGTCCCCATACTGAACCCTGAGGAACACCACTTGTCGCTGGTTGCCACTAGGACATCTAGCCATCGACCACAGCTCTTTGAGTACCATCCACCCAATTCCTTATCCCTGAGTGGTCCATCCATCAAATCCATGTCTCTCCAGATGGCTGTAATGCCATTCAGAGGGACTCAGACAGACAAAAGGATGTTCGAGAGAAATCCCATATATATTAGCTAGGATGAATGCAAAGACCTGCATCTGGGGAGGAATAACTGCAGGCACCAGTACATGCTGTGTACTGACTGGCTCAAGATCAGATTTGCAGTGAAGGACCTTAGAATCCTAGTCAACAATCAGTTGACCACAAGCTAGGACTGCAACCTCATGGCAAAGGCAGCCAACAGCCTCCTGGGCTGCATGTGGAAGGTCACTGCAAGAATGTGGAAGGAGGTGATCTTTCCTCTCTACTCAGCACTCGTAAAGCCATAGCTGGAGTACTGTGTCCAGTTCTGGGTTCCCCAGTACAGGAAAGAGATGGACTTACTTGACCAAGTCCATTGAAGGGCCACAAATATGATTAGGGGACTGGAGCATCTTTCACATGAGGAAAGGCTGACAGAGCTGGGACTGTTTAGACTGGAAAAATGAAGGGTCGGGGGGGAGCGACCTTATTCATGTGTACAAATACCTGATGGGTGGGAACGAAGAGTACAAGGCCAGGGTCTTCACAGTGATGCCCAGACACAAGACAAGACCCAACGGGCACAAATGAAAAACCATGAAATGCCATCTGAACACAAGAAAACACTGTGCTACTGTGAGAGAGAATACATTGTCCAGGGAGACTGAGGAGTCCTTTGCAAACCTGCTCTAGCTGACTCTGCTTGAGTAAGGGGGTTAGATTAGATGGTTTCATGAAGTCTATTCCAACCAAAACAATTCTGTGATTCTGACACTGAACTGTTGTCTATGACTACCTAATGCGAGGATGCAGAGAAGACTGAGCCAGGCACTTTTTAGACATACCTAGCAGAAGGACAAGAACAAACGGCACAAGTTCCAGTTAGATATAATGACAACTTTTTTTACCATGAGGGTGGTCAGCCCAGAGAGGCTATGAAATCTCTGTCCTTGGAAATACTGAAAATTCAACTGCACAAGGCCTTTAAGAGCTTAATCTAATTGGATGTGCTTTAAGTGGGGTTTGGACTAGGTGTCCTCCAAAGGTCCATCTCAAACTGAGGGATTTCTTGATTCTCATGTAAAGATGGATTTAAAGAATGTAGCTTAAAATACACACCTGTTAAATACAGGACTGGTAAAACACATGCACGGTGGAACAGGACTGTAGAATACAAGACCAGGACCTAAAACCTGGAGCAAACCTAAGTTATTCTACATAGCTATCACTTTATCACCTGGAAGTACTGACCACCTGAGATACACTGTTTTCCTCTCTCTAAACCAGGCAAATAGTCAGAATAGCACTGTCCTAGTAACTGTTAGTGCTTTGAAGCATTTAGGTGGAACACCCTACTGGCTAAATGCAAACACTTATTGGTGAAACCCCAGAAACACTCTCCACTGTCTTCAGTGACTAACAAAATACTTTGATGCATCTAAGTAGAACCACGGGGACTGACAATCACTGCCATATCATCAGGTACCTCAGTTCACTGGCCTGTCAGTAAGTACAACCAGTCCCAGAGATCTCAGAAGGAAGCAGGACTATGTCAAAAATATGAAATACACTGCCCACAGATTCCTTATCAAGTGCAGAAATGCACGGATTGGTTTATGTCCGAAATAAAAGGGGGAGGTTAAAATATATTATATTTTTACAGTATCTAAACATGTCCTTGAATTCTTTGAAATATCTTTTCCTTTCCTGAACATTGTTAACTGACCAACCTGATTTCCACAGCTGTCGGTGAGTTTGATAGGCCAACTACATACTGAACAAAAAACCATTTCTATTCATATTTTCAAATTTGTTGCTAAATTTCTTCAGTGTTCTGATGATCAGGATAGACAAAAATGTTGAAATTAATACTAGCAAAAATTCATGTTTTTAATGCAGTATGGCAATTTTAGGACTTACATGTCAGACAAATGGTGGCCTGTTCTCATTTTCTGATTTGCACTCAGCAGACTCCAGGCGCAGTCTTGATGGCTGCTGCTGATTTTCTCTGTGGAGTTCACAGAAGTGGCCTCTAGCATTTAGAGAAGGAGCTTGTGATTTTTAGGACTTCATATACCTTCCATATTTTTTTTCTTCTTTCACTGATGTCTTGCATTGTGTTAGTGATTGGTTCCTGTTTTGGTGATGCAGATCTTTGATTCCTTGTTCTCTTTCAGCCCTGGCAGAGAAATTCACTGTTGTACAATTATCTAAGTAAAACCAGGTACAAGCCATTTGCCACTCCCTGCAAAGAAGACTGAGCTCTAAGCAGGAATTAGTCCAGTAGGAATTGACAATGTGATAGCAGAATTTAGATCTTTGTATGTACAAAATGGAAGAATCTGTGATTCTATGTTGGGAGTGTGGCAAAGTCAAAAGCAGAAAGAAGTCAGCATGGGCTCATCTATGCTATCTCCTTCCACATTATCTCAGTTGTACAACCTCTCCTCTAGGGCTCAATCCTGAAAGATTGTTCTCTGGCTGTCACAGAGCTCAGAGAAGGATGAAGTACTTCAGAAAAGCACTTGTGAGCTTAGAAAATACAGAACTTCAGTTAAAATCTTGAGATCTTGACTTCTGTGGGAGCTTATGAATGTAAACATTGTAAGTATCTCAGAGATAATTTATGGGGGCCAAATTCAGCACTATTACTCAAATAAAAGTACTTTTATCTGCTGTGAGTGTTTTGTTCCAGCAAGGAGGGCAGAATTTTGCTCCCTCGGGATATTATTTAATAGATAACCCATTAGATATATAGCCACTGAACAAACCACAGAAAGCGCTGGCAGCACTTTTTCAGAGGAGGACTAACTGGTTGCAGTTCAGTCTGGATCAGAGTATGCAATTATAAATAGGGGAAGCATAAATTCACTAAGCAAAAGCATGCAAAGACAAACATTTGTAAAAGCTAGATATAAACCACTGTCAGCAAAAGACAGGAGGCAGTGAAATGCCATCAAATCAAGATAATGTTATCTGCTCAAATCTTATCTTCAATAGAAAGCAATGCAAGGATTATTTATTTTTCTGGGCTTTCCCTGGAATGAATTTCTTAATAATAGGAAATGAGAGCATCTGGGATAGCAGACTGAGGAATAGATGGCTTTGGTCCAGTCAGTCAGATTTGCTGTTGTTACAAAATCTAGGACCCCTAGCATGGCCTTTAATCTGACCTACCATTGCTGCCTAAGGTATCTAGATACAAAGGCAACAGTAAAGCTAGACTCAAATAAACTCAGCCAAAGGTCATAAAATTGTAATCAGGTCTGCATCCTTACCATAAATACTTACATAATTCTTTCTTCTGCACTGAAGTGGAAGTTCTGTAATGGTTGTTCTTGTGGAGAACTCTATTTTTGGTGCAATTTCCCTAAAAATAAGAGTTAAGGGGACAGGACTAAAAACATAACCACTGCCTATGCCTCTCCCTTATAATCATAGCATCATAGAATCGTCTAGGTTGGAAGAGACCTTAAAGATCATCTAGTCCAACCATCAACCTAACCCTGACAAGACAATAAATAAGAAATAAGCAATAAAAAATCACTAAACCATATTCTTGAGGACCATGTCAACCCATCTTTCGAACACCTCCAGGGATGGTGCCTCAACCACTTCCCTGGGCAGCCCATTCCAATGCTTGATAACCCTTTCAGTGAAGAAATGTTTCCTAATATCCAATCTAAACCTCCACTGGTGCAACTTGAGGCCATTTCCCCTTGTCCTATCTCCTGGGACTTGGGAGAAGAGACCGACACCCGCTTCTCTACACCCCCCTTCAGGGAGTTATAGAGCACATCATAGAATTGTCTAGGTTGGAAGGGACCCTTAAAATCATCTAGTCCAACCATCAACCTAACCAATAAAAAAACTCCAAACAATAACCCATCACTAACCCATGTCTCTAAGCACTATGTCAACCCATCTTTTAAATCCCTCCAGGGATGGTGCCTCAACCCCTTCCCTGAGCAGCCCATTCCAAGGCTTCATAACCCTTTCAGTGTAAAAAATTGTTCCTAATCTCCAACCTGAACCTCCCCTTGTGCAACTTGAGGCTATTTCCTCTTGTCCCATTGCCTGTTTCTTGGGAGAAGAGACTGCCTCCCCCTAGTTACACCCTCCTTTCAGGGAGTTGGAGAGACAACTGCAGAATCAAAAGTGACTAAAAGAGGCAGTGCAGCTAAGAAAGACTTGTGGCAAACTCATCAGCAAAAAACAGTTGTAAAGCAATTTTGCTATGAAAAGCAGAACTTTGATTTTACTCTGCACTCTTAAAACCATGCAAGAAGGGATGCACATGGCCAGCAAGATCAAAACACATGCTTGAGGCACTAGCACTGCCCCAGAGTATTTCCCTATAAAGGAATATTGTGAAGAAAGGTGAGTAGAATCCTTTGAACTACAGAGAAGATATACAGCTCTTTACTGTTTGATTAGCAGCTCCATTTATACACTAGTCTTCCTAGTGGGTCAGCATGGCCAAAAGGACACTTCCCAAAATGGTGTGAAAACGGAATTCCAGTTTGCCTTTGAAGGCAGGTAATGCCATGACAAATACTGCAAAAGCCACTAATAATCTTTAACTGAAAAAAAAAACCAAATAGAAAAATAATCTGTTCACTTGCCTGCAATTTTGAATTTTGCATTTCTAGCAGTTCCTCTTTCTTCTACAGGAGTGACAGAAATCCAGAAATCACAGTACAGTACCTTCAAACTATATTTGCCCCTACCCATATGCAAAGATGAGGAGAAAAAAAAAAAAAAAAAAAAAAAGCAGTAGCAATGAAGAAGCAAAGAAATGAGCTTTTCATCTGAAAGGAAAGAAGGGGATGAAATACTGGTAAATGAATAGGTGATTTGAGGGCAGCATCTGACTGGCCAGAGAAATTCAGCCAGAGAAATGAGGTGATGCTGCCATTTCTCTGGCTGGATCTCAACCCGCCTAAGGGCAAGAATGAGCACTAGGAAGAATTTACAGAGATATGAAGAGGGAGACTGAAAAAACAAGGCCTGTACACGAGAGAAAGATAATGGATAGAAAGGTCCATCCTCAAAGGTAATTGGTACAATGAAACCTGAAAATCTATCACGCACCTGGCCCTTTCACTTAATCTGTGGATGGAGGTACATAACTGAACGTAAAATTTTGCTATTAGGGCTCCTAATTTGCCTATGAGGAAATTATTAGAATCATAGAATCATCAAGGTTGGAAGGGACCTTAAAGATTATCTAGTCCAACCATCAACCTAACTCTGACAAAAAAATAAATAAGAAATAAGAAATAAAAATCACTAAACCATATTCCTGAGGACCATGTCTATCCGTCTTTTAAACACCTCCAGGGATGGTGCCTCAACCACGTCCCTGGGCAGCCTGTTCCAATGCTGGATAACCTGTGAAGAAATGTTTCCTAATATCCAATCTAAACCTCCCCTGGTGCAACTTGAGGCCATTTCCCCTTGTCCTATCTCCTGTGACTTGGGAGATGAGACCGACCCCCACTTCTCTACACCCCCCTTTCAGGTAGTTATAGAGCGTGAGAAGGTCTCCCCTCAGCCTCCTCTTCTTCAGACTGAACAACCCCAGCTCCCTCAGCCTCTCCTCATAAGACTTACTCTCCAGACCCCTCACCAGCTTCGTTGCCCTTCTCTGGATCCACTCCAATGTCTTTTTTGTGGTAAGGGGCCCAAAACTGGACACAGCACCTGAGATAGGGCCTCACCAGTGCTGAGCACAGGGGGACTATCACCTCCTGAGTCCTACTCACCACGCTCTTCCTGAAACAGGCCAGGATGCTGTTGGCCTTCTTGGCCACCTGGGCCACCACGGGCTCATGTTCAGCCGACAGTCGACCAAAACCCCCAAATCCTTTTCTGCCAGGCAGCTCTCCAACCATTCTTCCCCAAGCCTCTAGCTCTGCATGGGGAACTTATTTCTTACTGTGACTAACAGATTTATTTTTTAGGATAGCACACACCCAGTACATTCTTTGAGGCACTTCCGTATTCAAAAGAGCACATGAACATCTCCCTCTGCTCAAGACAACCAGAGGAACAGTCAAACTCCAGTCCTCATGAAGTTGCTACTAAGTAGCTGAACTCCTTCCTTCTTCAGACACCTGTGATAGGTACCAGTTTCAGGCAACTTACTGGAAAATGATGAGAAGTTTTCATCAGTAATTCCCTATCCACACCAGGACATGCAGGAGTCAGCTTGTATTCTGGGAACAGAAGGTCTCATGTATTCCCTTCATAAAATGCAAGGGCGTTGCCTCCTAAAAGAACAAAAAAACACTCATTGAAAAATAGCTGCCAGGTTGTTACATGGAATTTTCATTAATAGCTGTGCAATGAAAACTCAGTAAATTATGAATGTCCTTGACAGAATGCTGCCCCTCTCCTCCCTAAAGATGCCATCAGTAATAGGCAGTGGCTGGCACATCAGTGGGCCTAAGAAGAGTGGTACAGAAATGGCACATACTCAGCATGATTCAAAATTATTTGACGTTGGAAATATTTAAGACAGCAGTTCCATTTTAGTATACTGTCCTCCTCTGTATCAGAGAACCTTTCAGTTTGTATTCTTGAGGGCCACAGAAAACAAAATCACATAAAACCGGCAAACCCAAACCATTTGGTTCTGTATTTGTAGATAAGAAACATAGCAATATCAGATATTTATTATTTTTTTGCCTGCTTGCCTGAGACAATAACCACTTCTCCAGCAAATGGCTTATTCCCCTTATCTCCAATGCTCTGACTATGCAGCACTTGATCACTTCATCTTCTGAACATGAAATGAAGATGATAAAAGGGAGGGAAACCATCTACTTTTGAAAGATTTGGTTTAGCAGAGCAACAATGGAGTTTGATGCTGCCATTAACTTTCCAAATGTCACACTGCCTTGAAATATTTTGGGGATGGAGATGACTGCAAAGCTTGAAGGCAGACTACCCATTTACAGTGTAAAGAATGTCCAAAGCTGTGACAGAGAATGTACACAGACAACGTACATGCATGTTTTACAAAGTATGTCTAATGCATGTGTTTATACACGGCAAGCTCAATCTCAGTCCACCTGATTTCTCAGTGCTGATTTCTCACCTTTTCAAAGCATATCTTCTCATGAAACGAGAGAGAAAAACGGAGGAAGGCATTTTCTCTCTCTGTGTTGACCCAGGATGCACACACTGAGAAAAAGGTCATGTTTCTCAGACAGAAACACACTCGAACAAGTAACCTTAGGAAAGAAAAAAATATGTTCACATGAGACTCCTTGGTTCAGTCTTACACACACACACATCAGTCGAAGCCTGCAGGACTGTATCTCAGAGGGGACCCAGTAGGCCCTTGGCCTTATTACTGATAATCTCAAAAGGGTGCCAGATTAAGATCTATCATTGATTTTTCTCTCATTTTGCATTTTGGAATTTTCTTTTTTATTATTTCAGGTTTCAGGGACTGATTTCGTAGACCTTAGCATTACACACAACGGAACAGATATCATTGGATACCTACAAGGAAATGAATGAGTGAAAACCACTAATTTTTTTTCTTACATCTGATGACCTGTTACAAGCAACATATTATTATTATCCATTTGCAGAACAGCAGTAATGCCCATCATTAAATAAACATCACACAGCAAGAAGAACTCCACATTTAATCTAACCTTTTCCTTGCACACTCTAGCAGACTTTATGCTGGCAACCCCAAAGAACCAGTCAGTGCCTCCTGCTTGGAGGAAAAGCTAAATGAATGAGAAACTACAGCTAAAAGGAGGGTGTGTTTTAATCTTCACAGGGATATTATCACTGCAAGCGTACGACCTCACTTTATGTTAACTTCCATTTGCAGATGAGAACCAAGCTGTAAAAAACCAAACAGCTCCCCAGCTCTTAGAACTCAAGGTCTGTTCACAGATGTACATACGAAAATATTCAAACACAGTACAAGTATATACATATAGAATCACAGAACGGTTTGAACTGGGACAGTAAGGATCGCCTAGTTCCAACCCCCTTGCCATGGGCAGGGACACCTCCCACTGGATCCCGTTGCTCAGAGCCCCATCCAGCCTGGCCTTGAACACCTCCAGGGATGGGGCAGCCACAACTTCTCTGGGCAACCTGTTCCAGCGCCTCACCACCCGCAGAGCGAAGAATTTCTTCCTAATAACTAACCTAAATCTACCCTATGCCCACATACGCACAGAGACAGTATAGATGCGGGCGCACATCTGTTCATACATAGGCTGTGGCACGGTGCGGCACCTCAGGGCCCCGCAATCACGGCGGCGACAGGTTTCCACCCCGCTACCGGCTGCCTAGGCCCCCCTCCCTCCTTCCCCCCCTCCTTCCCCAGCCGCCCCGCTCCGCCCGCGGCCTCACCGCGTCCACCTGCAGCTCTGCCACCCGCTTCAGCGCCATCCGGGCGGCGGGGCCGGGGCTGGGCTGAGCTGGGCGGCA